TTTGTGTCAATTAATTTAAAAAAACATAAAATGGACAAATTCATAGAAAAAATGTTTTCATTCAGTTTACTGAACTAAATAGAAATTCAGAGTCAAATTCTAAAAGGGTGAAACAACTCGGTTTCCCACAAAAGAAGTGTCAGGAACAAGTAGTTTGACTGGTAACCTCTTCAAAACCTTCAAACAAAAAATTACCATTTTTTAATATGAAATATTCCAATATAAAGGAAACCTTCTTTGCATTTGATGAGCACAACTTCAAGGCTGACACCCAAAAAGGACACTGAAAGAAAAAACGCATTTCTCAATCACAAATGCAAATGCAGACGTCCTAAACGTATGACTAAAAAACCAAGTTTGGCAACATACAGAAGGTAAGTGGGTCAGTGAGATGGCTCAGTGGGTCAAGACGCTTGCTGCAAAGTCTGACCACACTTGAGTTCAATCACTGGAACCCACTTATAAGTGGGAGAACTGACTCTTATAAGTTGGCCTCTGACTTCCATATTCCTGCTGTGCTATGCACATGCCCACACATATATATTAAATAAATGTAAAAGATAAAAGTTGATCAGTAATACCTTTAATCCCAGCACTTGGGAGGCAGAGGCAGGCGGAGCTCTGTGAGTTCGAGGCCAGCCTGGTCTACATAGCGAGTTCCAGGTCAGCTGGGGCTACAGGGAGACCCTGTCTCAAAAAAACCAAAAAAAAAAAAGGTTGATCAGTAATAAACAACTTGGGTTTGTTCCAAGAGTGCAAGGTTGGTTTCATAGAAGTCAGCAAATACACACAATACACATTGTTGAAGGAAAAGAAAATCATTTGATCATTTTAATAGAGATAGAAGCATTGTTTGATAGATTTAGCACTAGTTCTTGTCAACTTGTCCTAAGTGAGGAGTGGAAGGGAATTTCTTTTAGCCGAACGAAAGGTAACAAAAAAAAAAACCTTATAGCAAACAGTGAAATACTGGAAACTAGTTTTAAGATTCAGAATTAAAAACAAAACAAAAAACCACACTACACTCCAACTAGGCATACATTACTCATTCTGCCAAAGAGGCTTCATGAGGCATTCAATAAACTTGGTTTCAGATCCCAAAGTGAAAACTGTGCTGCCACACACAACATGCTATCAGCCAGGCATGTGGAAGCGAGATACATTCACTTTAATGCAGGCCAAGTTACACACATGACTCAAAGTCAATCCTTTCCTGTAACCACAGCAACATCCGAAGGGCAATGGTGAATCACAATTTATAAGGAATGGACTTTGACAGGAAGTAATCTCCTAATTTATTGAGCATCATTGTTTCTGTGAAATCACAAAGTTCCAGAAAACGTGCATCCCTATAGGCATTAGATCTGGATCATAACCACTAGGGAGACTGTCCTTAGCAGGTCAACATTCTCCTCTGCCAGAAGAAACATGGCTGACCTCTTGATGACTAGGTACTATATTCTGTTGATAGCACAGATGTCTACCAGAACACGTGCTCTTAAGGAATTTTTTTCCACCAGTATAAGAGCATTTTCCTTTCTCTCTCTCTCTCTCTCTCTCTCTCTCTCTCTCTCTCTCTCTTTCTCTCTCTCTCTTTTTCTCTCTTTCTCTCTCTCTCTTGTTTTTGAGACAGGGTCTCCCTGTAGTCCCCAGCTGGCCTGGAACTCTCTTTGTAGACCAGGCTGGCCTCAAACCCATAGAGATCTGCCTGCCTCTGCCTCCCAAGTGCTGGGATTAAAGGTGTGCACCACCACATCCAGCTGAGGATTTCCTTTTTAAAAAATACAAATGTACTATTTATTTTTACGTGTATGAATATTTTACTTTCATGTATGTATGTGCGCCTTGGAGACCAGAAGACAGCACTGGGCCTCCTAGAACTGGAGTTAAAGACACAACCACCGTGTGGGTGGTCCTCTCCAAGAGTAGCCAGTGCTCTTAACCGCTGAGCCATCTCTCCAGTCCCACAAAAGCATTTTCTTAAATTTTTATCTTTTCTTGGGGTTCTGTTTTTCTTGATGTCAATAGTGTGAGACAATAGAGTATTTCAAAGTTCTTAGATGTCACATTTCTTCAAATTCAGTTAAAATTGTAAGGTTTTCCTCAACTCTTGATACCATAAGATACGATATAATAAAAGACAAAAACATATGTAGCCACTATGAGCCGAACATAATAGTTCCTAGTACATGAGCCCATCCTAAGTAGCTGGGTAAAAAACTGCACAAGACTGGTCTGGCTGAAGGAAAAGCACACAGACTCAAGGAGCAGCTGGTCTATCAGGATATATGGAATATGCCCGAACATGACAAATTACATGATTTTCTCTCCTGTGTGGGAGGAACCACCAATATAAATCACAGCTTTCAAATACAGTATTTATCTTCTAAAAATAAACATAGTTGTAGAGAATTATATAGTATGATTATATGGAACATTAAGAATATACTGACATTATATTTTATTTTATTTACTTATCTTGGTCTTTTTGAAACAGGATCTCCCTGTAGCCCCAGCTGGCTTGGAACTCATGGAGACCAGCTGGCCTTGATCTCACAGAGATCTCACAGAGTGCCTGCCCCACCCTACATTATCTTAAAACTTATTTTTATATTGGGTGTATTAGTGTTTTACCTGCATGTATGAAGGTGTACCCATGTTGCGCAATGCCCTCGAAGGCCAGAAGAGGTTGTTTGATCCCTTGGAACTGCAGTTACTGACAGCTGTTAGCTACATGTGGGTGCTGGGAATCAAATCTGGGTCCAGCCAGTGCTCTTAACTATTAGCATCTCTAGACTACCTACATTATATTTTAATTGTTTAAAGTATGAGCCTAGCAGACTATCACCATTATCAAAAAACATATATTGAGGATAAGTAAGAGGCTGGGCTAAATGCAGTCTAAGGAAAAGGGTACCAATCTGTTTTTAAGTCTCAAAAAGACCTTTCAACTGAACAGATTAAGCACCTCATAAGCAAAACAATGCCAATTACTGTTACAAAACCACACCTATGATTTGGAATGTCTCATTTTCTGAGTGCTCCCAGTATCTAGAAACAAAACTAGTCCTATTTTTATTTAATTGGGATTACACAAGTATAAGAATATTCATCAGTAGAGAATGACAACATGAACAATATTCAGGGATTCAGAGTACTGGGTAATCTGTCTATAATCTCACTTAATAAAGACACACTGGACACAGTGGCTTGTGCCTTTAATCCCAGACCTTGGGTGCAGAGGCACGTGGATCTCTGTAAGATCAAGGCCAGCTTAGTCCACATAGTGACTTCCAGGTGGCCTAGGACTAGGAAGACCCAGCCAAAACAAAACAAAACAAACCACAACCACATTGGGTAGGGTGAGTGAGGTAGGAGCATCTAACCACGACATTTTCAAGTGTGACAACAACATATGAATGTCATACACCAGATCCACCAACTCAAATCTCAGGGGTAGAACAAGAAAATCTGCACTTGTGTATGTGAGCACCTCTGTCTCCGCCTTCTGAGCAGGCACCATCATTTCTAACTTTTTAACATGGGTTCTGAGAAACCAACTTGGGTAGGTAGGTCCTCGTGTCCTCACAGCAAGCACTGTACAGACTGAGCAACTCCAAACTAGCAAAATAAAAAGGGTATTTAGGCCAGAGTTTACAGACAGCCCACAGAAAGGCTTTGCTTTGTCTGTCAAGTAGTGTTTTTACTTTAATCGGTTGTCAACCTAAAAAACAAACTACTTTTTACATAAAAACACCAATTCCCTTGAAGAACAACAACACTGAGAGCATAACAACTACTGAAGCTTGATGGAAGCTGCTCTTTTTCAAGAGCTCTGGGTGGTGACAAGAGGCCCAGTCCTGATCCAGAGTCTGGAACATCCAAGTCCCTTTCTGCCCCCGACTAACTAACATTCACCCTCAGGGCCCTGTACAAATGTCTGTGACTCTTGGCCTTAACAAGGGGATAAACATCAAGCAGCCAGATGACCATAATCAAAGAAACCTCCAAATAAGATCCCGGGCTTGCAGAAGCCTCCAACTACATCCCTTTTCCATCCACCTCCAGAGTGAGATAGAAATGAGGAGCAGTGGACAACATCTCACAGCCCCTGGTGACATCATTGACAATTATTATCTCATCATCCAAGACTGAGGATAACATAAAGTAAGCCCAGAAACAGCCAAGTTTTTAGAATACCAGACAATGGCCTTAGAAAGCCAGATCCCCTTTCTACCTTTACTTTTTGATTAATGAAAGACAGACTTTAGTCAAGTTCCCCTGATGCCTCAACTATTAGGACTGTAAAACTACTTGGAGCACAACTAGATTCCTATCTCAAAAGCAGACATTAGAGCCGGGTATGGTGACGTATGCCTTTAGTCCCAGCACTTGGGAGGCAGAGGCAGGCAGATCTCTGTGAGTTTGAGGGCAGATCTCTGTGAGTTTGAGGCGAGCCTGGTCTACATAGCGAGTTCCAGGTCAGCTGGGGCTACAGAGAGACCCTATCTCCAGAAGACCAAAAATAAAACCAAAACAAACAAAAAAAAAAAAACAAAAAAAACCCCGCAGGCATTATAAGTAACATTCCTAGCTAATCTCCTACTGCTGAAACGTGCTAAACAGATGGCTAATAATGCCTTCTGTTACTCAAAATCTTCCCCAAATGTTAAGTAAAATGATAATGCAATTAGGAGTAGCTTAAATTACAATTCAGTCCTCAGGCATTATCCAATGAGAGGCCTAAAAACTTCCAAGGGCTGGGGGTGGGGGTATTGTCAATAGATTGACTAGGGCTCTAAGGGGTGGGCAGCACCTGCTTCCTAAGGATATTGCAATAAAACATCTTGAATACCTGGTGGTATATAAAAGGCAGTCTTATCAGACAGGATGCCCCAGTGGAATGAGAACTTTATAGGCACCTGCCCAATAGGACTAGCTGCTGCTTCTCTGCTGGTGAGGAGCAAATGAAGTACAGTTGAGTCCAGAGTGGCACCCACCTCTGTTCTGATGGATACTGGTTTTCAGGAATCATCTTTGGCATCTGCAGGGGCTGATGTGGTGGCCGGGGTACCACAAATGTTTGCGGCTGTGATCCAGGTTCTGGAAGCGAATGAGGGGTGGGGGTAGGGCCCACCCCTTGAACTGGGCCAGCTCCAGGGGTGTGAGCTGAGGTGGGCAGAGTTGCCTGAGGTGGGGGAAATAGGGAATTCTGATGGGTAGGTGACAAAGGAGTCGTAGGAGGGGTTAATGGCTTGAACCCAGAAGGAGGCTTCCTATCGTAGGCACTGTAAACAGAAAAAGAGAAGGAAACGTTAGGGGCAGTGAAACCTAAAGCACAGGTTGCTAGGTCCAGCAGAACACTAGTTTGCAACCCCTTGTTGCCAGGAAATGACAGCATTAACATAGTTAAATTGCTCCAGCCCCAAGGGAAGATTTGTACCTCTGAGAGGTGACAAATGCACTGCGTCAAAGGCACTTGTTTAACACTTCTAGTGCTTTTTTTCTCAAAGATAATTTTAGCTTCTGCTTCCGGTTTCCTTTTTTCCCTCCTTCTAAAAGAATTCTGTGTTTGCTCCTGTAGGGGTGGATGGGTGAGGCCAACGTATGGGCCTTCTCAGGTCCCCTCATCAAAGTATTCCAGGGTTCCCAGGAATTAGACTCTCAGTGGAAGGTAAATTTCTGATGCAATGCCACTTAAATTAAAAACTCTTCTCTCTTTCCAGACAGATCTATGTTTACCTTTTAGAGCACAGAATGATTAAAATTAAAGCTTTATTCTTGAGGCCTGGATATTCTTAAGTAAAGGGCACAAGTATCGGGATATTTTCTGTTTATTCTGATTTGAAGATTACTTCCTTGGTGCTTAAAGTTCACATTAACATATGGTAGACAGGAAGAAGTATATATTACCTGCCTCAAAGCCACAGATCAAATGCCCCAGTACTCCAAGCAAAGACTAACAGATCTTGGTTCCCTGTAGAGCCCTAACACTTTAATGAAAGTTTCTGCCTTTCCTGTATAGCATATAATGGTCCCAACGGAATGGGCTACACCCAGATTACACTGGAAGAGAGAGGTATGTTCTGTCCCAGGGCGGGCTGGAGAAAACCAGAACTCTCAACTAGATGGCTACTTCCAGAGCCTTTCTGAGCAGCTTTGCCTTGGCTCCACTTACCAGTAGTTGTAGAGGCACTTTTCTCCATAGTTAGCACCAAGAGCCTGCTCATGGCTACAGGATGACAACTCAGAGGAGGGGCTATGAAGCTCCCGTTTGATCTTGGTTGGGGGTGGAGCATGAAGCACCACTGAAAGCAGAAGAGGGATAAGGAGGAAGAGAGAGGATAGCCATTTAATATACAACGTTTCCTTCTGCAAACTGCACAGCCTATTGTTCTTGGAAGTCCAGTCATATGTCAAGGAAACCAACACACTCAATTACACAACCTTCCTTCAAAAGTTAATTAAAAGTTCCTTAGCAGGGTTATCATGTGCACACCCGTAGCCTCAGCACTTAGAGGAGTCTGAGCCTAGACTGGGCTACATAGCCAGACCCTACTCTTAAAATAATTACCTTGCTAGGTGTGGTGGCCCATGCCTTTAGTCCCAGCACTAGGGAGGTAGAGGCAGGTAGATCTTTGTGAGTTCAAGGCCAGCCTGGTCTATATAGTGAGTTCCAGATCAACTAGGGCTACAGGGAACCTTGTCTCAAAAAGACCAAAAAAAAAAAAGAAAAAAGCTTAAAGTCAGACATCATCATGTGACATTTTTATTTAGCAAAGCACTGCCCCGCAGGGCCCCCCATCCATTTCTTTGGTGATGGGTCTTGTTTCCCGGAGACTCTGACCTACATGTGATGTTGAGGAAAAATAGAGGTAGCATAGAACACCAAAAAAAATGTGGAAACTGCCCGGTGGGTGATGCATGCCTTTAATCTTAGCACTGAGGAGACAGAGGCAGGTGGACCTCTGTGAGAACTAGGCCAGGCTGGGCTACACAGTGAATTACAAGCCAGCTGGGGTTACAGGGAGATCCTCCCTCAAAAAACAAATAAACACTGAAGACATCAAGGAAGGGGCAAAACAGCCAAAAAGTGTGTTGGTAGGCAGTACAGCTCATCAAAGGCTTAGCAAAGGCTTCAGACTCCTGTGGCAATGCACCTCTTATTCAGAGGCACATTTAGAACTTAAACGTGTATGAGTTTAAAATTTCTATTTATGTGTGTGTCTATAATTGGTGTGTGTCTCTGTGTGTATACCACAAATGTACAGGTGCCTGTGCTAAATGGGCGTCAGATCCATGGAGTTGAAGTTACAGGCTTATGGGGCTGCTAGGACACTAACTTGGGTCCCCAACCCCTGAGCCATCTATCTCTCCAGCCTCATAGTCTTTCTTCAAGTAATTCTAAATATCAGCTCTAAATAAAAACACTCCACTTTAGTGGAATTACAAAAAGAATTTAAAAGAAATAAAACAATTCAGCAGCCCAGTATATAGGAAAAGCTAGCTACTGGAAGTGCCAGCAAGGACTCTGCTCACAATACCTGCTGCCAGGCCCTGACCAGCAAGGCTGGCTCTCAGCCCTTTTGTACATAGCAGCAGCAACGGCTTGGGTATGTTTGGTCTTCTCCAAAACCCATATTGTAAACTGGGTCCCAGTATGATGATGCTGAAGGATGGTGTAGGATGCAGACCTTATGGATGTGTTTGGGTCATGAGTATTCCACCCAAAAGAAGGAATTACGGATGCTTTCGTGGGACTAAATTAGTAACCATGAGTGGTTACTGTGAGTGTGCCTAGCTTCTGAAGATTGTCTCTATCACACACATCTGCTCTCCCCCCTGCTTTTCTGCCCTGTTTTGAAGTGGCATGAAGACTTCACCAACCAAATAAAGTTTACATATAAATGGTATGTATGCATGAGTGTGTGAGTGTGTGTGTATACACATATTTATGTTTCCTTCATAAATTACCCATTCTGGGGTATTCTGTTATAGCAACAGAAAATGGACTAAGGCAATGTCAATAGCTTCTTGTGAATTCCTGAATTAGTCAGTAGACGAGGCTGTGACTTTATGTTTAGACACCTACTGCATATTCTACACGTGATTCTGGGAGGGTAAAGAAGCAAGACTTTTCAAAATCCATGTGATTTATCTACAGTGGCCTCCTATCCCCAAAGAATAGAAAGTCAAGTTTGCCCTTTTCTTTCTTATCTAGAAGCTGAATCATTTCAGAGGCCCTTGTACTCAAAGTAGAAAAACCCTATTAAAGCAGTTGTCTATTGTCTCCTCCAGTGAGGATTTAGAATGGCTGCTGTCTGTCTAGCTACCTGGGACCTGGAGTTTAAGTTAAGCTTCTCTGTGAACCACTTACCCTCCTTATCAAAGGACTCCTAAATAGCTAACCGCTCTGGCGACCCTTCAAAATTTTGCTTGACTTAGAGTTTACCTCCAAATATTTTGAGGATTTTGGTTAATTTTTATTGATTCTACTAAGTTGAATTAAGCTACATTGGTACACCCTTTTTTGGTCTGGTAAGACTGGAGACTCTTCCAGCCTACTGGTTTCTCTGGTGTTTTCTACAACTCTAAGTTTGAGACTCAGTGGTGAACACATGAGCCAGACAACTCTACCACCAGTAAGCTGGCTCAGTGGGTAAAGCACTTGCCCAGCAAGGCTGATGACCTGAATTGGATCCCCAGAACCCAGGGAGAAAGGAGAAAACTCCTCAAAGTTGCTCTGTGACCTCCAAACACATACCATGGCACACACACATACAAGCACATGCACACGCACACAGAGAAAAGATCATAAATACAAGAAAATGGTAAGTTCTGCCAATGACGGACCAGAGAGGACCAGTTTTTGTAATTCCTCTCTTACATAATGCCAACTGCTTTTCCTGAGTACATGAAATAAGTTGAGAACTAGCAGATTATATTTAGAAGTCTAAGATTAGAGTCTCTGTCATGATTCTTTGAGGGTGACATCACGGCAAAGTAGAGTCGATTGTTATCAAATGTTTTCAGACACAGAGACACAGAAGGTAGCCAAGCTTTTGCTTTTGTGCTTGTTAGGGAAAAGAAAAAGCCATCCCTCCAACGGAGTGGAGTGGCTGTCCGGGCACCTGTGACAAAACAGCCCAGGATACCACCACTCTGCATACTATTCTCCTGCAAAATAAGGAAAGGTAACATTTCAATTTAAACAAAAGCTACATAGCCTTGAGAAGTCTATTTTTCTTTGTCTAAAAATGATGATCACTGCTTTCCACTAAGTTTGGAAAGTAAATGATTATAACAATACTCAACTTTCTCATTTCAGGTTTTAGAAATGCCTTGACATTTTCACAATATTATTATAAAAATTAACAACCAGTTTGCTAACAAGGCAAACATTAAAATATAAACCAAAGTTGCTGAAAAAGAAAATTTTTATTTTAATTTCAGGAATAGCACATTCCATTTCAAAAAAGAATCAAGGTACTGGCTGAGAATGTCTTCAGTTTCTTCAGCTCCATACAGAACACCAAGTGTGGACCACAGCATTTGGCTCTAAGTTACGCAGATACAGTGCCTTCTGTCACAAAGTTGTCTTATATGTGGTATCTTATGTTCTTTGTACAAAGAAATTCAGATGTGGTGGCACACTCCTATAATGCTAGCACCCAGGAGGTTGAGGTGGGAGGATCACAAGTTTGAGGCCTGCCTGGGTGACATAGCAAACCTTCTCAAACAAACAAACAAACAAAAGGCAGCATCAAACCAGCTAGGCAGGGTAGTACATGCCTTTGGTCCCAGCACTCAAGAAGCAAAGGCAGGTGGAACTCTGCCTTTGGTGGAGTTCCAGGCCAGCCTGGTCTATACAGCAAGTTCTAGGCTAGTAGGGTATATATAGAGATCTTATTTAAAAAAAAAAAAAAAAAAGTGGGTGAGTCAATAATTGGATCTCATTTCCAATCAGTTTTTTAAAATAATTTATTTTCATTTTATGTGTGTGAGTGTATTGCATGCATGTAAGTAAGTGCACCCATGTCGTGCATGCCTGAGGACAGAAGAGGCCGTCAGATCCCCTGGAACTGGAGTTTCGGACAGTTGTTAGCTGCCATGTGGGTGTTCGGATTCGAACCCCAGTCTTCTGCAAGAACCAGTGTTCTTAACCTCTGAGCCATCTCTCCACCCCTCCAATCAGTTTTTAACCCTCAAGGTAGGGACCACATCTATTCTATAAGTCTAGGAACAATTCAGTCATCAATTCTCCCCCCAAAATTAATCATTTGAAGAAAAAGCACGGCAGAAACAAGAATTTCAAGTTTCACAGACCTTGGTTGACAGGTCAGACATAGGGCTCCAGTGTAGGGAGGAAAGAGGCCTGGCTCCCCAGAGTTCTGCTGCACAGAGGCATGTGTGCTAGTGAAGGGACACTCCCTGCTGTGGGGCTGTTTCCTCATTTGTAAAATGATGTGATGCTGCCTTGCAAATAGAGAGAACTGCCCAGCACCTTTCTTTCAGATGGTGCTGTGCTGCAAATTATGTGTTTTGTTTTTGTTTGTTTGTTTTTGCCGTTTCCTACGTTTTTTTAATTTTTTTTTAGAAGAAGCATATTATTACAGCTTTAACATGCCCAATAACAATTTCCAGAGCAAAAACACAGCTCCCCCAAAAGTGGCTATAAAATTTCTAGGTTCGCCGTTGAATTAATACAGTTATACAATATTGAACTCAGCATAAGCCCTGCAAGACGCAAAATTGAATGAGTTTTCAACCCTCAAAAAAGATCTCCATTTCATTCCAAAATATACTGTTTCCTACAGAAGGACTCATTGTTTTTGCTACTAACACTGAGATGTTGGCGCGTGCATATCTAATCTGTATGTATCTGATCATTACTAGTCATAATCGTTTGCACTCGGATCCTTGGCACCTGTGTATGTCTACAAAGTCATCGGGTAGACTTCAATGGTAACGTTATTCCCTGTGTTTTTTAAAAATACTGTGTTTGCCGGGCGTGGTGATGCATGCCTTTAATCCCAGCACTCAGGAGGCAGGTCTCAGTGAGTTCCAGGACAGCTAAGGCTACAGGAAGACCCTGTCTCAAAAAGACCACCCCCCCCCAAAAAATGTGTTTGCCTTTACACAGTGGACTCACTAAATGATGACAGGCATCTAGGACCATAAAGGATGACACTGAATTGGAACTGAGAAAGGATCACAGACTTCTGAGGAAGTTTGAGAAATGCTGAAAGTATTAGCTATTTGAGCTGAAAAACATCTACAATTAAAAACTTTGGAGTTTAAGCTCAGA